GGGGGGGGGGGGGGGGGCCCGTTGAGCCTTCGAAAACCGGACAGGCACATCCAAAGATTGAGATTCACACGATGCTGCAATATAAAGGGTGTTTCAATTTAAATGGATCCATAAATAATAAAGCAAGCTGGCCGGCTTTTGTGTAGACAACTCATTAGTTACGGTGGAAATAAAATAGTGTCAGTTATTAAGAAAAGAAGACAAAGAGGGATTGCCTCTTCCTTTTCTCTTGATTTCTCTCGTATTTCCAAAGTATGCATCCCGCGGTACATCCAGCACCCTCGTAACGTGGGGGAGGAGCTCATTTGAATTTTCCCGGACAGGATGTGCATCGCGTGCATATCAATCCCGAACACCCCGACGAAATATGTCAAAGGAAGATGTAGGAAGAATGGAAGAATGGAAGAATGGATAATATTTAAAGAGCGGCCCGTATCCAGAGCACGTCCGCGCGAACGGTGGAGTCCGGAGGCTTATTGTCATGTACCGAGTGCCGGGGCATTTTAATATTTCCGTTGAATGCTCTCGGAGCGGACGTACCGCGGCAAACTCACTCGGCAGCAGCTCGTTCCTATATTCACTGGCCCCAGTCATCCTGGGTAAGAGCGAACGAGAGAGAAAGAGAGAGAGAGAGAGAGAGAGGGTCCGACATCCTCCAGTTGTCCAGCGATTTTAGCCCGAGTCCAGAAAAAAAAAAACAGCTGAAATCAATTGAAAGTAAATAAGAAAGATCGAGAGATTCTCGTGTGACGCTACAGTCGACACTCGTCGTAAGCAGGTCTTGTCTTTACGATAATTTTATGACTTCTCCCAGGTTCACTCGATCCCAACTACCAAGACAAATGTGCTCTACGTAGCAAAGTACCGAGGAACGATACGATCTGTCTTTCTCCCGTGTCTTCTTATAGGCGAATTACGCCGAGTCGTACGTTTTATTCTGAAACAGGTTGCGTATTTCACGGGCTCCCTGATTATCTGCACTGTCTCTTACGTCTCTGCTGGGAGGCAGAAACTGATTGCGAGTGGAGCTGCGGGGTTCAGAGGTCGCGCAGCGAGTGTCGAAGGCGTCTGCTGGGAGTTTTGAAGAGTCGCGATTATCGTGTTAGAAAAGAGGACCGTTTGATATTCCAGGAGCAGCAGCCGCTGCTGACTGAGAGGAGCGAGTGACAGGGTCGACAGGACCAAGTAGGAGTAATGCATTATGCGCGTACGGTAGCACGGGATGTCGTCCTGCTCGGTTAGGAACGTTACGTTTATTCCTACGTATCCTGGGGAAGTTATTCGCATTCTCTTATTCCAAAGGACGCTCACGTTTCTATAGATACGTGGAAGAGTATTTCGGGAGCCGGCAAGAGTGACCGATGACTCTGGTTAGTCTTTCGGATTTTTTTTTTTTTTTTTTTTTTCAAGTTGCTTATACCAGGTAAGTTCCGACATATTTGATACTGCCTACGCGGTTGGTACGGTTGGTAGCATGTGCTGCTTTGTGATGAGATCTTTCAATGCTGGAGATGGAGACACGGAGGATGCTGGACCGAGATTCGAAACTGGAAAAGTGAGACGATACGTTGTGGGGGAAGCTTAAGGATTTGATGGAAGGCTGTGGTCCATCCCTAGGGTGATCACGTTGGATGCTGGGTGCTGCTGGCTACACCCTCGCAGATATCCAGGAGCGTGCTATTTATGGTGGCACAATCTCGGCGAAAATCTTGAAGCTACGCGCCAGGGACAGGTGCGCCGATGAAAAGTTACGCTAGTCTAAGACCACCGTTATCTGATTCCTAATAACTCTGGGCATTACGGCAGACCCGGCTGGAGCGACGATTTATTTACAAGGGGTCGGGGACACTGGGAATACGAAATATCACGTGGAAAGGTGTGCGCGACTGTACCGTCGTACGTGCAGCTCGTGTCTTTGTGTTCGGCAGTGTGTGGGTGAGCCGTGCCGAGATTTCAGAAAGGCTCGAAAATTTGCTTTTCTAATGCGATGCAAATGCCATGCAAATAGCGTCGCATCTTCGCGGATGAGACCGAAGAGGAGGCCAGTGGAGTCGAGGAATCGTGTGTGGATCGGCAACCTATTCGCACCATTATCCAAGAATCCAGAGTCGAAATAGGAAAATCCTTCAGTTCCTTAGGAGGCATTATTCAGGAGTTGGAGCTCGGAGACTGTGGGCTCAGAGCCTTGGAGCCGAACCCAGGTACGGATGGCCGAGCGGCTATTGAGCTCAGGCACCGCAGGAGCCTGGTGAAGAGATTAACATTGAAGAGCAAAGTTCCTCTTAATGTATCGGGGGACCCAGAGGCATCTCCGCTGCAGTCCTCTCTGACATATCCAGGCTCCGGTGCGCGCGCGCGCGCGCTAACGCAACGCTCCACTGTGTTTCTTTGGGCAGCCCGTGAAAACCGGCCGTCGTATTAACGGGCAGATTGATTCGAAAATAATCGCAGCGACCTTTTAATTCCTCTGGCGTTTCCGGCTATCGCCCGAGATACTTCACTCGGCTCGACTCGTGCAGGAGAGTGACTTCATTTTTCGAGAGGCCTTCCACCGGCAGCTCCTCCATCCGAAGCACCGCTTCACGCTTCTTGATGACTTCTTCACGAGATCTTCGGGAGAGCAACCGGAGAGTCTTCAATGCGCGATGCGCTTTACACGTCCAGCAGCCACCTAAGCAAGACCAAAGGCATCAAGTCGGTATAATGGATGACGATCGTTTCGCGTTTAGTCCTCGTTAAGACGTCTTCGAGATATCTACTTTATTATCTTTTTCTTTCCTTACCTTGTTCCCTCCACCTCCCCCGCTCGTCTACCTCGTGCTGGCCTCACGTGGCTGAGGCACGCCCGAGAGAATTTGGCTCCTCGGATGAGACTCCTGACTGGAGAGGAACGAGTTCCGCAAGGAGGATCAAGGAACTGGCTGTTGCAAAAGGTAAAGTAAGCCATTGGACGGTCTTCCTTTCCGCGTGAAACACAAAACAAGAGACAAGAGACAGGATCGTCGCGCCGGCGAAACATCGTGTTCCGATAGAGCACGCGATCGGCCCAGCATCCTTATTTCGACATATCCCGAAGTTGCGACAGACGGTATTTGCACTTTTGTTACGTAACGCGAGCGGCCGTCCCGAGCATCGTTTCTTCGAGGGACGCTTCATGAGTTATCGAAGAGAGCTGCTATGCCTAATTCTTCCGCTTTCTCATAATTACATGTCAATTAATCTCTCTTTCTCTCACTCATTCTCTGGACCCGACTAGCGGGACGACGTACGTCGCTGCTCGAGAGCCTGATAATTATGATACCCGATGAAATTACACCTGGACCAGGCCCCCCGACGAAGGGAGTCCCCGTCGTCGCCAACCCCACCAATAAAGCAACCTCAGAGTGCGGAGTATCCGCGGGTCTCCAGGGTGCGGAAAGGAGAATTATCAAGCCAGTGGCCCGAGGTGAACATGGACGGTAGCCGGTTAGGTAGCAGCGACTTAGGTTTCAGATGAGCCCGATAAGGCGTGGAGTCGCGGACACGAGCAGGGAGCGTGCAGGAGCATGAGAATCTCGTCGGCGTCCCACAGGGCCGGATACGCGTGCGCCACCCTCGTTTCCGCTCTCGGGACAGACTCATTCCCATTCAGCTTGCTCATTCCGCCCCCGGAATATCCAAGCTGATCCTACGTCCTGCGGCAGTCAACGTCTTTTAGACTATTTCAATTCGAGATTTGCCAAATTCACTCATCCGATCCTGAGCCATGGGATGAAACCAATCGCCATGGTCCTAGGGAAATCTAAGGAGCAAATAAGAATTCTCATGGGATCTTCGCGTGAAAGTCAAACGTTTCTCCGTGACAAGTCGATAGCGTTGTGGCGTGGCGGATGGATGGACGAGTTGCCGATTTGCAAGGATGGAGTAGCGGCACCCGGTCAATTCGCCACGGGGAGACCAAGTAATCCGCGTCGAGATTAAACGGTATCGTGCGAATTTGCAAAGCGGCCATAGGAGGACGCGACCTTTCGCCACTGTTCTATATTTTCTTGGTCGACTGTCTCATTTTTTACTTCGGCAAATCGCACTACTCGCGGAACGCGGAATTGCCTGGCAATGGAGCGAATCGGTTCGATTAATTCTAAACCTCTTTTGGTATTCCGCTTATACCGGGTGTACTGTAATTGTCAATGTCAACACGGTGACCCAAGACGGATCGCGTGACAGCTGTCAAATCTTAGTGGATCCCTTTCGCCTGCATAAGCCAGCACCTGCAAGAGGCAGTCGGACGCTCGAAGGAGAGACGAGAGGAGGAGAGAGGAGGAGAGAGGAGCAAGACTTGCGAAATTGAAGACGTTGCGACTTGCGAACCACGGCCGATGACGTTACCGGCAATTACTCGGCTTGGAAAAGCCTAAAGTTGCGAAAAAGCACGGCCGGCACGGAAAGAGGGCGTTCTCCGCACGCACGCGGACTGGAGCGGGGACGGGTGCGCGATTGTGTCACGGATGTCATAATCTTACATAATGGAAGTCACCGGCATTTGTAAGCCGCACGCATGCTCGCGCCCGAGCGCGTACGCTCAACAATTTGCTTTGATTCGATATTGTAATTGTGTCACGGAAAAACTATTGTCCGAAATCGTTTCAGGGATTACGTCAAAATTCATTAAACGCATTTTTCATATTTCATTTTCGCTAATTCAAGCAGACTCCAAAATTCCACTGGAGACTTTCATACGTTTCGAAGCTCCTAAATTTTCAAAATTTTCCAATGGAGCAGAAGGCGATCATGCGAATTTCGTAGTAACGAATTTGCACACTGGTACGTCTGTAAGCGACACTATCTTAGAGTTTGGCGAATATATAAAAATTATTGAAACTGGCGAGTAAAGGAAAAAAATATATAAATAAGGGACACTGAATCGCGTCAAAATATTTCCAGTGGCTGTTACGAGGTTGAACGATTTCTTTCGTAACTCCTCGATATGCGACAAGAAAATCACCCACGCCTCTTATGAAATAATGATATATATTCTGAACGGAACACCCGGTACGTCGATACCATGGCAAAGTATTACGATATATTGCGATCGCTCTCCTTGTATTTAGATTCGTACGTTCCGTTATTACCTGCTCGAGCTGTGCATCCACTTTCGACTCTCCGTTCAGCCACGTACGCAACAATGTGCATCTGAATCTGCGAAACAAAGAGCACCTCCTTCCTCCACCATCCACCACCATCCACCACCATCCACCACCGCTGCCATCTCCTTACGTCTCACCTTCGCTACCTTCCTTCTTGATCTCTCGGTATATCACACCTTGGCAACCTACTCGCCATCTGCTAATTACCATAAGAACGCGATTCCCGTGGATCTGACATGGGTACAAAGGAAAGCGTCCGCAATGGAAAAATCTGAACGTCCCATTCGATTCTCCTCCGATTGATTCGAGACGTGAGACAATAACGAGACACGGTAGAATATGATAAGGATATGCTAATTGAGACGAGTAGGGTTAACGTCCTGAGCTCATTGCTAAAACCATCTCTATAAGAAAAAGTAGTTGCTGTACAGCGTCGGAGGGGGGCGTCGGGACGCAACTCCTGCATTAAATTAGCAAATCTATCGTAATAATAATATTATCGGTGGGCGAACCGCAGGATTCGTTCACGTTGAAACGGCCGTTAAGCCAAGGAGCGAGGATCGTGCTAATGAAGCGTCGCGCGCAAACGGCCAACGGAATACATTTGAATGCATTAGCTGGCGAATCTTAGCTCGGTACAAAAAGCGGAAGTGTCTTGGCGGAAGCAAAAAAGGAAGCAGCAGCGGGCGGGTAAGATCTGAGCGAGTGAAGGAGAGAAAGAAAGGAAGAAAGAGAGAGAGGGGTCTGGGGATCGCTTGTAAAGATACTTAAGCTCCGCACTAATTACTGACAATTACCAAAGGTCAATGATCTTAAGCACCCTGATAGGAGTCAGTCGCCGACTGAGCCAATGTCACAAATCATTTGTCAGCGATCAATGTAAAGGCGCAAAAGAAGAGACGACTCCTTACGGATGATGAATTCTATGAATGCAGGTGATTCCGAAGAAATGATGCGTGTGGTCTCGCACGAGTAGAGAAACGTCGAGTATCGGGTTGTTTTTGATAGATCGATCCCGTCCTACAAGAACACGATACGCAACTAATTCATCGCCTACTCCTGGCGCACGGCTAGATATCAGAATCCTCCTAATTGAATGCTTCCACCTTGAATGACAAGGTGTTGAGACTCACGTCTCTCTATCGGGGAGTTCGATCTTAATTCGATTAGCCGGACCCAAATGAGTTGTCGGCTCGGGTTACCCAACCTCGATTGATGTATTAATAAAAATCGATGTCCGCCTCGAAATCGAAGAAGAGGTTCGCGCACTTTTTTCTCGTCCGTCCCAGAGTCTCTCCTTTTTTTCCTCCGATTCGGCAGGAAGAACAGCAGCGATCGATGGGACCTGCAATAATGCATAAAATAAATATAAATATAAATAATGAAGTAGAAAGAATGCTGAAAAATCTATAGAACTTACGGATCCCCGTTGGAGCGTAAGGAGCAGGTGTCGTTTGTTAGCAAAGTAAGACTTGCATTCCGCCGGTATGTTTGTTGTTTATGTCGAATCGTGTCTCCGTCGAAAATCCAAGATGGCCATTGCGAAATTGAATCCATAAGGAGTGTGGTGCCTGTGCGTGAGCATGTGTGGAAGAGAGGGAGGAAAGCGCGCGGTATAAGCGCTCCGGTACGTATGCTTATCTACATATAATAAAGAGCGCTCATAATTTACGCTCGGTAGCTGTATTGGTTTCACAATACGGCACACATAAATGGCCGTGCGTGATTGGCCGACGTCGGTTGACAGACGGATCGCCGTAACGCCGGGGAGGAGCACGAGAGAATCTTAATTCACTTTTATATTCGTGCTCGACGGTGAAAGAGAACGGCCTACGCTTGTAAGTGATGTGGACTCGCAAGAGTAAACGGCAGCACCGACATTATCCGCCACGCACGAGCCCGTGTCTGCTGCTGCTGCTGCTCTCCTCGCGACCTTTATTCTCCTGTCCCTCGACGTGCCGTCTCCTGTTATCCTTATGAAATCCTCCTGCGAAGACTGCGAAGAATATCGTAAAAGATTGCTGATTAAAACGAACGCTTAATATTTATTTGTCCCCTTCTAAGAGTCCAGTGCAAGACATTTGATTCCGACATGTCGTTCCTTTTTCCGTAAACTCCTTTGGTATTCCCGGGTGCATCGGACGCCGACGCCACTTACATTTTAAACACTTGACTCATCTACTACTATTTCTTTTCCATCGACAGGACGCTGTCTGGTCACGTTCGATGCACCGAGCTGCATTACGCACCCTCTGTACGCGCCTCTATGCGCTAAACTGCCTCCACCTGCAGCGCTGCCCATTGTCTTACCGAAAATTATTAATTCTTGACTTACAATACGTCCGATCGGGCTGCTCGTCTCTTCCTTCGCGTGGTGGATGACCGATACCTTCCACGCGGCTACGCGTCACCGCTGCTGGCTGGCCGCCTTCGCACTCGAAGCAGCAGATAATTGAATGCGCCTAGATTTTAAAAAGACATTTATAAGCCTCCGTTACCTGTTTTGTCAATTCGGATAGCATCGTTCAATGGGCATAATTTATCCGGGATTTTGATAATTTTTTGTGTCATTCATGACCAAATAAAATTCACGCTAAATAACGTAAATCTTTAACTCTCTGCATGCGCGAAATCATTCTAAAGATACACGTAATTAAAGAACCGGTTGACAATCGATAAATATTTCGTTTCAAGAAGATATCACGACTATTTTAGGATATTTTGAAATGTTAATATACATATGTCGAGTCCTTGCGAAAAAATAAAGATTGCCGAATGACTGTCGAATCATTAAGATGTCTTAGATTATCAACAAAAAAACAATTTATGAGGCTCGCGAACATCCATAAATTCTTCCTTAAAAAAAACTATCCTAAGTAATCTACTCGAAGAAATCCTCGCAATTCTCCATCATAGCTAATTTCAGGAACCACCCTGAGACACATTTGGAAATGTTCTCTCGGTCAGGCAAAAAAAAAAAGAAGAAAGAAAAATACAATACCTGGACGCTGTTCGATTTCAGCATGTCTTATTCCTGTCGCGTAGTTCGACAGGCCCATCAGCCGTCAAGGAAGACAAACCGCGTCGCAACGCGTAGCATCGCGTCCATCCCATAGAGAAATAAAGTGCAGGCGTCGCAAGTCCTCGGTATCCACGTGCCGGGCGTTGCGTGCGACACGCCCAGTGCGTGGCTCCGGCCATACGCACATGCGTGCCTCAAACTGAGATTTATTCTATTGGCCGTAGTAACGCAGGCACCTATAGTAACAGAATGCAATGCTACACACCACACAACATACTTAGCGTCGGCTGTGTGTTTACAATGCGCCAAGAAAGCAGCGTCGTACGGCGATAAACAAAGGTACTCACTCTTGTTCTCGCGGAGTCTTACGAAAAGGTTACGTCGAACCGAACAGATGATCCTGACAGTCGCTGCAGGCTGGAGATGAGTAAAAAAGGTGGCTTTCACTGACACTGTAGGGTGTAACACCCTCGACTCAAAATGCTTTGTCATTCCACTCGTGCCTTACGTATCTGGAGATATAGCAGTGAGGTTAGTTAGCGATTCTCTTCAGCGAACGGGCAGGTGAGTCAGACTCAGGAAATAAAGGAGGTACGTAGAGAGACACAGGGAGAAGAAGGTTCGGAAGGAGGACGATGTCGAAGGTGCGGAGTCAGTTAAAGAGGGAGTCGGCGGGGGTTGTAGGAGTTTGAGTTTCTGAGAGTCGTGTTGTTGTTGGTCGTCCTGCTATGCACGCCGGATACGCGTTCCCTGCATCTGTAACGAGGGTGTCGCCTCCTGTCGTTTTCCCGGCCGACCACTCGACGAGCAACGCGTTTGGCTCCGTTCGACAAGCACAGCGCATCGAGTGCGTAAACAGGAGACCCTATAGTTCTCTCGGTGTGCGGCGAGAAAGACCCGAGCATTGAAATGCAATCCTTGCGTCGATGATTTATGCCTCGGCAATGGCCGCCTGCACTGCAGGATGTCGCACGTCCCTTCTTTATGCCTCTATCGCGGATTTGGACGAAAATAATTCTACGCTCCAGAGCTCCGCGGAAGTATCGCCATTCTCAGCTCAGTGCTGTGTAGCACGACACATTATAATACTTAAGATTTTAGCCCGATAACAATAACGAGCGTCTACCGACTCCATTGAAATCTCGCGACGCGACGAAACTTGCGAAAGGCCGATTAGTTCGCAGTTTGGTGGCGGGCGGCGCTGCGATCGCCCTAGCTCGAGTAAAGGCGCGTAGGACGAAGCACGACGTGGTGCGATAATGGTGCGATCGTTGGGACACGTACGCGAGCAGACCGCTCTATATTCAGACACATTATAAACGCTGAGCGTGTAATAAGCGGGGACCGAAAAATTAGCATCTGCCGGCCAGGAGACAATGGCTGATTTGAATAACAATGTCCGCTACCGTGTGGGCTTCTAGCTCTTAACTACAGGCCTAGTCGCGTTCCGTGAGCTCGTATCGTATCGCATAAAGCACCGAACGATAATATCGCCTCCATCACCTCCCTGACCCTATTTCTTCCATAAAAAAGGGATACTCCACCGTTCCCTTTGACGTTGAACCATTACAGTCGCTCTGTCGCAGAACTCTCAGGTCCACCTATGTAGTCTGTCCGGCTGTAAGACTCGACGTCACGGACGATCGTGGCCAAGTGTACCAAGTGTACCAACTGTAACGTCGAGCATGAGGCGTGCGAGTGGAGGACGAGGTCCTCATATCGATGCGCAGATGTCTGACCCTGAGGTCTCTTCACCCCGGGTACCATCACGTCGACGCTCGAATGTCCAGCGATTTGCTCGCTGCTACGGTCACCCACACCGAGCTTCCCCGCGCACCAGGCTTGCGTGAGACAAATATAGTTTCTGCGTGACCGGGGCAGCAAGTGTCATCTGCTAATAAGTAATAAGACACGCTCGAGGCGTTTCGATAGGGAATACCTCGAATACACATTGGCCACCTTGTGTGCGCTACCGTCGCCGCCGTCCACGAACCTTCTAGAGGAGCCTTCAAACCCGCCACATGACACGCACGAGCACGACGACACTCGCTGGAAAATGAGACTTTGTGTCTTTCGTAGAAGGCGAGACGAGGAGGTCACAGCCGCAGCCACAGGGCAGGGCTTTCGAAGAATTCGGTTTTCTAGAAGCTGTCGAAAGTGCAAATTCCAGGAGCAATAAAGTGCATTAGCAGCGAAGAATTTCGTGAGGACTCGTCGAAATTGGATGGTTTAGCTGTGCTTTTACACGGGACGTGGAGGCTGGAGGGAAGCAGACGAATCGTCTGGGCGGCACTGGGAATCGTCTTAAAGCAGTCCTAAACACACTTGGACAATGGCCGATGATCACCTTTCACTGTTTTCCATGGCTGGAGGGCCCAACCTCAAAAGTACAGGTGGGCCTTGGTCGCCTCCGGACAGGGTACGCAACCCAGCCATAAAATCGGCATCTTCGAGCAGGTACAGATACGTCCGGATAAGATAAGGGGGGGTCTTGATGTTTCCGGCATCTTGAAATCTCGAAAACAATGGTCGCTACTAGACTCCCATCAGACCGTTCGATGTCTAACATTAGAATTTACCTCTTTCGGAGAATAATATTTATAGAGATTGGTTAACCAGGTAAAAAGCGTTTCAAGGTCCGAGTTCGCCATGCGAAGGAACGGGGGCGCGATTCTTCCCGTGACTTTCGAGAGAAGAGCGCATTCGGTTACGCAACGTGTAGAAGATATAGCCAAGAGCCGTAAGTCGTGGCGTGCTGGTAACGAGAGGAAAAGTGGTGGATCGTTAGGAACGGCGGGAATAGAATGCACGTGGAAGCGTCAGTGTGCCAGTGTGCCCGTTCAGGATCCCGCTGGAAGGGGAAGATTGAAAAAAAGGCCAAGATTCGCCTCGTTGGCCGCGTTGCCTGCGACGCGCAGGACCCACGCCCGCATTGTGTTTTGCGTCCAACTTGTCGCTCTCGCGCCCGCTCATTGTGCCTTCCTTCCTCTCTCCTGCTCCTCCTGCTCCTCCTGCTCCTCCTGCACCTCTTGCACCTCTTACGCGACCGAGTACACCGGATTAGGTGGGCAGCCGTATGACTCACTCGCGGCGCACGAGCAACTCAGATTTTCTTGCATACGAAGTCGACGCCCTAACCCACATAAGTCCCTGGTCGATTAGAAGGAACCTGGTCGAAGTAATTGGAGCGACTAATCGAACATCCGAACCAGATAAGAATCCTCTAGAGCCAAGGTAGGAAATCCAGAAGCTGCAAGGCTCCGATCGGCCCACGGACACATCAGGCCGGGTTTCCACGTTGGAAAAGCAGGAACCACGTAGGTGTCCATATCGAAGCCTGTTGAAACCGCGGTATTATCTATTCTTCTCAGCGCTCGAGACAATGCTCCTCGTTCATCTAGGACAGTGGTTCTCGACGGCGACAGGGGCAGAAACCTTCCGGTAATAAATAGCCAAGTATACCGGAGTCGCGTCTGCAACGCGAACTGACTACGTATAAGTGAAGGAGCAAGTGAGGAAGTGATTGTGAGTCGTTGGCATCCTGATCGGCGTCAGCGCGACGTCGAGGCGCCGTTCGATCGCTCGGGACTTCCTGTCAGGGAACACCTGGAGGAATCACGGCCGATCGTTTCCTCGGATCCTCCTACCACGATGGCTCCAAGAGCCAATACACTTGTCTTCCGAATCGGACTGTACCAGACGTATAGCTACGGATAGGATGCACATGCCGGGTACAATGGGAACCACTGTCTAAGCGTTCTGTTGTAGAGTTAGAGGAGATCCGATAAGATAGGAGGACCTTCACGGGTCCATTCATCGGAGCCGCATAGTGGGCACCTCTTTACCCTTTTCACCGAGCGGCATATTAGAGCCATTGTGTTATCTGCCAGGGACGAGATATCCGAAGGGCCAACATAACCCCGGCAAAGAAACGACGCGTCAGAGGCGTCAAAAGGCGTCGCGTGGGTGGCGAGGGATGAGAATGGACCGGAATGCCCATGAAAAGCTCAGGCGGTTCCTGAGGAAAGAAAACGAAGAGAAGATGATAGCCCCCTCCCCCGCCCGAAAATCAATGACTTCACGTTAATTCGCTGCCCGGATTCTTCGAATCGTCTCCGCGTCCGCAGCATCCACTCAGCCTCGAATGACCTCTGACCTGGCTGCTGCGGGGCTCGGCAGTCTCGAAGACGCGAGTCGCAGAGACGTCGGCGATTCTACTAGGGAGCGACTGGAAGACCTAAAGGGGGCCGCTTCTCTTGCGTCTCCCGTGACGATTAATTCCCAGACAATGCGAGATTGCGCCACGACAATTAGCGACGTCGTCGTGGGTGGGGAGGGGAGGGGAGCGACGCATGGCGTCGCGTGCACTGACAATGAGAGGTACGTCGCTACACGGGGTTTCGTGTGCCACGCGTATGTGGAGCATGGGATTGCCATTGTCCATTGTTAGCAGTTATCGCAGGTCATGGTCGCGCCGACAATTGCGAATCGGATCTGATTCCGAGATACTCTCTTGCGGATGGAGATGACTCTGAAATGGATCTCGAGTGGATCCCCGCCCGACGACTGACCGGCAAAGCTCAACAACGATATTTCGTATAGGACCTAGCGAAGTCAAAGGAGAGGAGACACGGGGCAGGGAGAGCCTATGGGGAAGATACCGAAGGAAGAATCGGTTGGTACCTAAACAGGAGAAGAGGGGGAGATCGAAGGCGTCAAGAACGGTCGCCCGCAGTGCCGCTGACTATTTATCATAAGATCGATCGGTATCTCCGAGCGATACGGTCCGATCGGCGCCGTATCGATTCTTCTAAGGGCTTCAATTAACGTTATTAAAGCACCATTAATCTCCCGCACGACGCGGCATGCACGGCATGCCTCGTCCCGATTCCAGGTCGGCCCATGCCTGAATGGCCGACCGGTTGACCGACCAACCTGCCTGCCCCCCCCGACCGCCGCCACGATCCACGCTCGGACCTTTGCCCTGCCACGCGCGAACCCCGAGCGACTTCCCTTCAATCTTTCGCCCTTCTTGCTGCCATTTTTAATCAACACGCGCACGCGCACTCGGTAAGACATCGCGCAGCGACCTCCCAGAGGAGTCTGGACCGTCACGAAGCGACCTGGGCCCAGTTGGCTCCGGGAGGTCGGACGCAAGATCAGCGATCGGCAGGTTGAGAATCCCTGGATGATACGCTATTAAAGTCAAGCCAACAACGGCACATTGTTACGACGCATGCATATTCAAGGGATCACGGTGGACCTCACCCAGGAAGATCGTACGTCTCTTCTCTCTCGCCGCTCTCGTCTCCCGGGACAATGAGATCACTCGAACGGGTTCGTCGATCGCATAAATCATAGGTCGAGACTATGAGCGACGGTGACGTCGAGCATCGTCATTGGACCTGAATACTTTGGGTCGCGAATTCTCGAGCGGAACCGAGTAGGCGTAGGCAAGGAAGCAGAGCACGTGCACCGGGATGAAAGACAGTCCGACGTTCGACTATAAAACAGTAGAGGAAGAGAGATGAGCTCAGTCGGGCGCAGTGGATGAAGGGAGACTGGCTGATGGGTAGAGCGGAGCGTTGATAGGAACGATCATCGCTCGCTCACGATGACGTATCTACGGTTCTACGGGGTCTGCGCGGGGAGTGGAGGAATGGGAACTAATGTCGGTGCCCCTTTGCGTATGTTAAGTCGGTAAGCGCAACTCGGCTCACTAATGAAGTAGACCAGACTTCGAAGTGGTAAGCAGCAAGGAGCAAGAAGCGAGAAGCAAGATGAAGAAGCAGAGTCCACTGCACCGGAGGGGCGTGCCTGCATATATGAATACAAAAGCGCATGCATATCCGAGCGGTCGTCGGGGGACGTCGGGAAGACGAAATCGAGTCGCTGGAAGCGCGAGGGACCTGGTGGACGACGAGGAGGACGAGGAGGAGGATGATGGAGGTTAGGTGGATGTCGTGAGACGAGCGTTCGCGAGCCATGTGCAACGGAGGATGCATCTAGCGCGAGGTCTTGGCCCGTCCTTGTGTATCGGCGGAAACGTAGCCTCTCCCTGCCCCCTGGCACCCCCGACTTCCGGACTTAGGAGCCGAGGGAGCCACGGCTCGCCCGAGCTGCCGGGGGGGTCCTCGGAATCAGGATCGGCATGGGCAGGGAACCG